TCATCGATAATCAGACGAGATGTTCGAGGTGTGTCTGCTTTTCTTGCGCTAGTTATCGAAGATGTTGTGCTTTCCGGTCGACGACCTTTGAAAAAAGATGTGTTTTCGTCGGTTAGAAAGAAACGTAAAATTCTTGCTTTCTATTTACCGAAAACAGGTAAACGAACTTTATTTCGGTCTTCACCGTAAATAGCATTGACATTTTCCGGAACATCAGTAAGACAATCCGAACATCGGGATGCTGATTTCAATGTGGACGATCGTCCCTGTTGACGAGGCGAGGAAAGATCGGTTCGAATCAATTTTCCTTCACCAGATTTACCACGAACATCCAATACTGTTCGATAACTATCGATCATTCGCTTGGACGGATGTTCGATTTTTGGTAGAACCATCTTTTTACTCGGCGAAGGTTGTCGATGATCATAACCGATAAGCGGTCTTGGTGAAGCGACAGCCATTCTTCTCTTCAATCAAGCACAACAACAACAACTAACTTCTTGTTGTTGCTATTGAAACTGAAAAGTTGTGTTTGTTGCACAGAGGTATTGTGTGTAAATAGAAAAACGACATTTTGCTTTTTCTCTTTGCTTTCTGTCGTCCATAAACAGATAGAAAACTTAAAATAATCGATCATGTTTTTAACTAAACGTTTACCATTGCTTTCAAGAGCAAACATTAATACATCAGGCAAGAGGAGAAAGAGAAAAGAAGTTTTTTTTTTTAAGTGTTCTTCGACCTTGGTTTTCGCATCCGAAATAAAATCATCTAATTAATATATTATTACACTCTTCAAATAACAATTATTTATCATTTATTATTGAAAACAAAACACGAACAATTGTTAATATTGTTCAAAGAAAACAATTCAACTTTATCTTTCACTCGTTTCAACACAATCAATAGTCAAATTTCATCATTCTGTCTCTTTATAGATTTTTAACAAGTATATCATTATACAACGAGAATGTAGTCAAGCAAAACAAGGGTGTATCCACAAAAAACCTTCGCACTGAGTCATGCTTCTTCATCGTCAACCATGAGTCAAAGTATAAAGATGAATATTGGGCGTCACCCAACCATATGTGCATTCAAACATGACATTCATTGCGATTTACTGTCAAAAAAACTGATAAGGCAAAGAACGAAATACAATCGTATAAATACGTTTGTCTTCGCATGAAGAACCCTATCCTTTTATTGTATACTTGTACTTTGTAATAAAATAAACGAATTTGATCAAACTGGTTAAACTCTTATAATATGTCGGGATTCCAAATGAAGACGATTCCATCGACGGCAAGTCGAATGGATTTGTTACCTGGACAATCGAATGAACGTGTACCGAAAAAGAGATCCTCGAATATACCTGCACAATTACCTCCTGAACGTCGACAGAGTAGTCTTAATACAATTCGTCGTTCGATTGGAATTGTTCCACCAGAGGACAATACCAATGAAACTATCAGAAAAACTTCTGTGGCTTGGCAAACAATGTCACAGAATTTAAATCTTCATTTGGAACAACAACGACGAAAATCTGAACTAACATCACGTCGTCTTCAATCGATCGTCGATACAAATCAACAACCCGAACATGTAACAATCTCGATAGATGAAGTCGAAGTTGTTCCATCAGTCACTGTTAAACCTCATCGTCCAAGTGATGCTGGATCGATGATTGATTTCGATAAAGAGAAACTCGACGATTTATCAACATTGAAAACAGATGTTCATGTCGTTCCGATGGAAACGCTGGTAGAACGATTCGAAAGTAATTTACAAAGTGGATTAACCGATGATACTGTTCGACAACATCAGAGTAAATATGGACAAAATAGATTAACACCACCACCGAAGCCAAGTCTTATATGGATGTTTTTCAAGCAGATTCTTGTTGGTTTCAACGGAATTCTCTGGGTTGCTACACTTTTTGCCTTTCTTAGTTATGTAGGTATCGTTTGATTATGAAGAGAATATGTTGAACGTTGTTTTCTTTTTCAGAAACCATTTGGTGACCCGGATCCTGATGTGACCAATTTAGGTCTAGGTGTTGTTCTTGTTCTCGTCATTTTCTCCAATGGTATATTTAATTTTTATCAAGAAGTAAAATCCATGAAGATCGTTGCATCGTTTTCTCATCTGCAACCGACAATAACCACAGTTAAACGAAATGGCATGGAAATGCAGATCAATGCTGAAGAACTTGTGCCTGGAGATATCGTTCGTATTAACATGGGTCAAAAAGTTCCTGCAGATTGCCGATTGATCACTTGTGATGATCTACAAGTGAACACATCAGAATTAACCGGAGAATCCGAGCCCGTCAACTGCACTGTTAAATGTACAAATCTGAACTTTATGGAAACGACAAATCTCGTTTTTTATCCATCATTGATCGTGCAAGGTACTGCGAATGCTATCGTCGTGAACATCGGCGACGAGACTGTACTTGGACAGGTTGGAAAATTAACACGAGGAGCTGAAGGTTCGAACATAACTGGTCTCCATCGTGAAATCAATCGCTTTGTCTTATTCGTTATTTGTGCAGCACTAACTTCAGTCATTCTGATTTGGATTACATGGGCAGCTTGGCTGAATGTTAAACAGAATGGGTATATCACTCTCAATGGTTCGTTTTTATCTTTTGTAAAACTTTGTTGAAATTAGATTTTCGTGTAGGTAATATTGTGAATTCCATTGGAATGGTCGTTGCTTTTATTCCAGAAGGTTTACCCGCTGCTGTAACTCTTGTATTAACTATTGTTGCAAAACGAATGTACAAACAAAAAGTACTTGTGAAAAGTTTAGCAACTGTCGAAACGTTCAATTTCGTTTCGGTAAATATCTAAGCATCTCCCTAAAACACGTATGATCATTCTGTTTGGAATAGGTCATTGCAACGGACAAGACAGGAACGTTGACAATGAATCAAATGACAATTACTGCACTACTTTGGGGGAAGCTAGGAGAATATATGGTCCCAATCCATCGCTCTGAAGAAGAAACAACGACAACAGATGAAGAACGTGTCATTGATCGGAAACGACCATCATTACATCCGAATGCGAAATCAAATGCTTTGAAAGATTTACTTCTCGGCGCGTGCCTTTGTAATAACGCTGTATTTCAATCAACTTCGAAAACATCGGAAGAAGACGAAGATTCAAATACGGAAACAGCTGAAGAAGCGAATAAACTAGTAGGAGATGCTGCTGATGTCGCTCTTTATCATTTGAGTCAAGACAAATGTTCGGTTGATATCGAACAAGTGAGAAGAGTCAATCCGCGGATAAACGTTCTTCCGTTCAATTCGAAGAACAAATTTATGATCACAGCGAATCTTCTTGAACAAAATTTAATAAAAAATCCAGATGAAAGTGTTCTCATCACCCTTAAAGGCGCACCTGATTTCGTCTTACCTCGATGTACAACATACAAACAGGATGATGGAGATGAAGAGTCACCTATGACAGATGAATTCAAACAATCTATTCAACAACGACAAGAAGCATTAGGAAAATCCGGTTATCGAGTCATTGCTATGCTTCAACAAAGAGTAACTAAAGATCAGTACGATGCGAATATTAATGAATACAAGAAATTCAAGAAACAAGCACAGACAGTATCGGACGAACCTGATTTGAACGGTTTACCGAGAAATAACTATTGTTTTATCGGTATGTTCTCTCTTCTCGATCCAGCTCGTCCCGAAGTTCCCGACGCAGTTCTCAAAGCACGTCGAGCTCAAATTCGTGTTGCTATGGTTACCGGCGATCATCCCACAACAGCGGCAGCAATTGCGAAGAAAGTGAACATTTTATCGAAAGAAATTAGTCTGGAGAATGGCATTGATACATTTAAAGTCGAACGAAACAACCAAACAGGTGAAATGTCTGCTCATATGATGAGAAATTCGAAAACATTACTCGGAACTCATTCAATTGGAGAACTAACAACAAACATCGAAGTTAAAGGTGTTAGTACTGAGGAAGAGAAGAAGAAAAAACCAAGTTTATTCCAACGAATTCGATTCTACTTCTCCGATCCAAATCAAGTAAAAGATGTAGAAAAAATCCCACTCATTCCCTACGGAGTCGTCGTCGCCGGTGGAGATATTCACTCAATGGATGTAAGCTGTCTACGGAAACCGATATCGATCATTCTTCTCTTTGCTTTAGGATTATATGTGGGATTGGGTTTTGTCACATCAAGAACTAGTGTTTGCACGGACATCACCGGAACAAAAATTACGTATTGTCATGGAATTCACTAAGCGTGGTGAAATCGTTGCAGTGACGGGTGATGGAACAAACGATGCACCTGCATTGAAACAAGCAGATTTAGGTGTGGCGATGGCTGCAGGTACGGATGTCGCTCGAGAAGCAGGTGATATGATTCTATTGGATAATAATTTTTCATCGATTATCAAAGCCATCGAAACAGGACGATTATTAAGCGATAATTTGAAGAAAGTCGCCATTTACTTATTACCCGGAGGTAAAGATTTTCATCGATGGATAAAGATAACCTCTTTTTCTTAAGGTTCTTGGTCGGAAGTCCTTCCTGTTTTCTTCACAATCTGGCTTGGCATTCCACTATCATTATCTGCCTTTCTGGCTATTATCTTTTGTATGTTGAACGATGTTGTCAACGCATTAGCCATGGTTTCAGAGAAAGCTGAACGGGATATAATGTCTCGTCCGCCGGCGATTCGCCAAAAAACTCACTTACTAGACTGGAAATTGCTTTTCCATGCTTATCTCATCGTTGGAAACATCGAATGTTTCTCCGCTTTTTTTTGCTTCTTCTGGTATCATTCATCACAAGGTTTGTTTAACAGTCTTTCAACAGTTAGCATTCTGATAGAACTCTCTGATGCTTTAGGTATTTCAGTGAATAAGATCTTTTTCACCTATGCGGATTACACTAACAATCCCCCGGCAAATAAAACTGTTGACGATCTTGCATTAATTCAACAAAATGGTCAATGTATTTACTATGTTGCTCTATGTATCATGCAATTCTTCAATTTACTTACATCACGGACACGATACGTTTCATTTTTCCAACATAATCCTTTCTACGGTAAAGGAAAAAATCTAACGGTGATATTTGGTATTCTCTTTTCGACGTGTGTTGGTCTGGTTATCACACTCATTCCATGGCTTAATCATGTATTTAAAACTCATCCTGTACCTGTGCGGTTCGTTTGTCCAGCGTTAGGATTTGGTACAGCATTGTTTCTACTTGATGAATTGCGAAAATACCTTGTTCGACGGTTTCCGAACTCTTTCCTAGCTAAAATGGCTTGGTAGACGAACTCTCTAATTTGCTGCCGATGTTCATATGATGATATAGGGTGTAGAATTCAGTTTTACTTTTCAAATTCTTCTTTATAAAAACATTTGCTCTGTGCTTATAATAAAAGAACGAGTTGATGAATTGCTTCTTAGATCATTTTCTCTGACGTTCTCATCAAATTGTATAGGAACTGTGAGATTTTAAAAATCGATAGTATCGCTTTCTTCATACAAGTATTTTAAGCCGAATGGCAAATGTAAGCGAAAGTTATCATTTAATCAATATATAAAAGACGCCCATGTTACACGAAGGAAGAAAGAACTGCAACTTTATTCATCGGAAAAAGCTCCAACAGTAATTAGAATTGCGTTATAATATCTTCTTCACAACTAAATGTATCATTGCAGTTGTAGAAGTTCGTACAGTAGTAGATATTGTTGTCATGACAGTTGACACAACAGTGGTACTACTTGTATCATCACCTTCACGGCGAAGTCCAACTCCGACGCCGACACCGACTGCAACAACAGTAATAAAAATCACCGTCACACAGCAAACACATGATAGGATTGCTTCAGTATGTGGATCGGCCGAGAAACAGGCAAATATGTTTCCAATTATATCTGTAATCAAGTCCAAGATCCCTGCTCCTTTTCCTATTTTGGCCATATTAGAATATGCGCGAGACGAATTTGGACGAAAACCACCATTAGATCGTATGTAGTACGGTCTAGGACCAAGAGGACGCATATGAGCACGGATACGGCTAGCTCGTTCTGGATTAAATGCTCTCGGTAAAGGATAACGAGGACGAATCAAGTGATTTGGTCTGGCATCATTTTTTCTAGTGTAGCGATCGATAATCCATCCGTTATTGAATACGAATTTCTAAATAATCAATGCGCATTCATGCGCTCTTCCTCTTTTTTTAATATATTTTTATGATCCCTCATAGGCCAATCCTCTTGGTTATTAATTAAATATAAACATGTAAGTAAACATATGTATAAGGCCAGATAAGTTATTTCCAAACAGCGGCTGCTCATTAAAATGATATTGTCAACATTCATTTACTTTGTAAATGAGAACATTTCTTCTTGTTAAACCGTACGACTAGGAAATAGCTTCAGAATATGTTGAAATGAACTATCTGAATTTTTGTATAGACATTGATTCCGTTTTCAATATTTGTTTGTTTGTTCTGCTATAGCGTATTTTAAATCGACTGAACAACAATGTAATTTGCATCATAGGAATTTTAGACCATTATTTGCAGCTAAATTCAACGTTATGCAAAACATAAGTATGCGTACTGTTTCTGTCGAATGGTGTTCGTTTCAATTTCTAAGCAAAAAATTTTCCGATGGGTTTGAAACTAAAACTGCCAGAGCAGAGCATAGTCAAAACAAGAAATTGCCTTTCGCTTGAATGATAATGAAAGAACGATGTACAAAATTTCATAACGGGAACAGTTTTAAGAGCTAAAAAGAAGCTTTCTCTTGTAAGAATATAAATATATGCGCACGTCGTGCTAAAACTAGTGTCTCTCTACTATTGTTAAACATCATAACTATTGTGACTATCGTTGGATCCGCGTATAATAGTTCAAATTTTACGCATATTTGCTAGCTGATAAACGGTACCATATTCAATGCAATATCTCAATTCTATTTGAATCAATACGGCACAATCGATACAAAATCTTTGTAACCATTCGAGAAACAACACACGACAACGCTTTAGCATTTCAATTCGCTGTCGAATCACAAATTCCAGAAGCTCTACTATACAGAAGACTTGTTTTCGATGGTAAACGATAACTCCGTCTGTAATACTATTTCCTGTACCATAGGATTCTACGCGAGACACGACTTGATTTCGTGCGAAATATGAGTAAAATTTGTGAAAAAAGATTTTTATTTTGAAATATAAATAAACACAGAAATTGAACAAAGCGTACATTTCTTTGTACTAAAAATATATATACAGATCACATTTTTTTCTTAATACGTTCAAGATTATCTTTTCGTATTTGTAAAACGGGATCATCCGGTGCGAGTGAACGTTCTCCAACTTCAATAGCTCGTTCGAGAAACGAACAAGCTTTCGCGTGATTGTTCATATTTTCATATGTCACACCGATGTTGTTGAAAGATGCGCCGAAATCCGCGTGATTCTTCGGTAAGACTTTCTCTCGAATGGCAAGAGCCTTTTCATGATGTGAGAGCGCTTTTGCATGTTCAGACATGCTGTTATACACTAATGCGATGTTGTTGTAAAGTTCAGCTAAGGCAATATCGTTCGCTGCCAGTGTTTTCTGTCGAATTTCGAGTGCTTTTTCGAACGAAGCTAATGCTTTCGGATAATTAGCTGTGTTATAAGCCACCATTCCGATATCCATATACGAAACAGCTAAATCCGGATGATTTGGAGAGAGAACTTTTTGATTAATTGCAAGTTCTTTTTCGAAAAAAGCAAGCGCTGATGGATACTCGTTCATATCGACATACAGTAAACCGATATTGACATAGGATCTCGCCAGATCTATATGGTCCGGAGGTAGCAACTGCTCACGGATTTTCAAAGCTTCTTTATGTGATGAAAGTGCTTTGATATTGTTGTCAATTTTTGAATATGCCATTGCAATGTTGTAGTGAATATAGGCTAAATCGAGCTGATCGGTCGTTGGCGTTTTCTGGCAGATAGCTAATGATTTTTCATAGAAACTGACTGCTTCTCGATACTTTTCTTGTTTATCTTCGATCAAGCCCAATTGATAATAAATGATTGCTTTTTCACTCACATCTTTCGTTTGATTGAGCAGAAATTCGTACAGTTGTTCCGCTTTATCGAAATAATTCATATTAACTAAAACAGCACCTAATCGACACCATCCTTCTTTCTCTGGACAACTCTCTTGTCGAATATAATTCATCACTGTTGTGAGATCTTTGTCTTTATCGGTGACAAGAGTCAAATGTACTTCTTGAAGTCGATTATTCGCAGTCAGCCGTTTGATATCATTAATTCGGAAGATCGATGGCATTGAAAATAAGAATTCATCTTCCGTTTGTGAGTAACTGACATCGCGAATCGCAGCTAATGGGACACTCGATTGCGAGGGATCAACATTTATCACAAACATGATGCCGACTAGATCACCTTTGGTTGACAGATCTTGAGCAAAACTAAGCGAAGCCTTGGAATTTTTGTTAACCAATAGGAAATTATTGAACGAGATCAATCCACTGCGGCATTTTTTCAATTGTTCGAAATCTGTCTTGCTAAAACCTTGACCATAGTAGACTGTGAACGTTCCGGAAGGTGCCGACTCACTTTTGTATTGTTCCGTATACAATTGTTCGATTTGTCGATGCAAATCTGCAATGAAAAAGCCTATCCGTGTGATAATTTCTCCATTCATCAACCGTAATGTTCGATTAAGCATCGGTTTCAGGAAACAATCCTTGGTATACCACCATATCGATGTTTCCTTGTGGTATTTGCTTTCGAATTCTTTCACATCGTTTAATTCTTCGTCGTTACCTGCGAACAACTCTTGACAATAGTCCGTAAATTCTTTGACTTGTCTCTCTTCGAATTCGCTAGTTAAAATGACTTCCTTGAGAAGATGAGTATACATGAACGAGAGATCCAACTGATCGAAATTCTTTGTTGAAGCGACGAAACTAACAGGCATACCGTTTTGTTCGAAATGTTGAACTGCTTGTTTGAGTGCGTCAGTCAAGGATGCGATGTCGGTGTAGATGCCTTTGATTTTTGACCAAACCTTCGTGATTGACTCGTCACGTTGTTTATTGTCCGAAAAGATGAAAATTGTTTCTACCTGAGGTACATCATGAATACGAGAGACGAGTTGTTGGCCAAGTGATCCAACAATGGTCACACAAGCTTTTGTATCGTTAATAGTTTGTAGAAATTCAATGCATGAATCACATTCTGTAAACGTGAAAATGTTGTGAATCGAGCGTTGTAGGTCAGCGATATTTCGTTGCCAGTCTTTGTTGTTATCGTTCAAACAGATCAGAAAGCCACTTCGGACTTTCTGAAGAGTAACGCGTCGTCGGTCAAGAACATGCTCTGCAGTTGTAGATGATTGTTTAGTGCTGTTGACATTCACTGATTTGCCGGTACCCATCAAGTTTTTCTTGATTGTATTCTATCGTTTTGAAAAATGAACTTGGATTATCAATGATTGCTTATTATATAGGATTTCATTTTTATTTGAAGTATTTCGATGTGTGCGTATGATTACGTCAATACACTTTTTTTTCTTCTACTGTGCGTTGGAGGTCGTTATGAAAACAAGCGGAAAAAAACGAATTTTGTAGTGTTTGGTTGTAGAAAATGAAAATATTTCTTGAATGATTTTTTTTTCTTGTTCTACAGTCAGCCACATTGTAATGTGGGAGGTGTCAACATCTGCAAGTATTTATAATGTCAAATACAAAAAAAATGATATGATTTTTCACATAGTGACAAAGTGTTGCGCGAGTGAACTACATTCCCATAGCATTCAAAGTTCATCGTCGATACTGATAGATTGAAGGTGAATGATCCATTTCTTTGAGACATTATCATACATGCAAGATTGTATACGAAAAGTAAAGTAAGGCCTTAAAAGCATTTCTTCCTCAGGAAAATTTGAATAAGGAGATATATCTATTGCATCGTATCGAGGGATGATATCGATCTCTAAAATTATTCTGTCACCAAAAAGCTTTGCTATAGATAGATTGCGACTGGTTGACGTGAATGCAGGAAAAACAAAGTCGTCGCGACCTTGTTCTGATTCTCGATATTGTTCTATCATATCTTCGTTTATACACAGCGAACGGTAAACCGTTATTTTTGTTTCAGATCCATTTTCGGGAAATTCACTGAGAAGAAGAGCAAATGGACCGAGAGTTTTCATTTTTTCCTTTACAAATTTTGGCTTTTCTTTCTCACCATCAAATCTCATGAATTCGTTCAGTTTACCAGAGAGAAAAGTAGCTCGTGTGTACAAAGCAGCACATTTGACTGTCACTTGTTCGAGAGTACCATCTTTTACGCTGAGTAATTCGTCCGCCGCCTCTTTACCCTGTCGATCTCCTTCAATCTCGAGACCTTTAGCTGCTGCTACAACCATTCGTCGGAGAGTATTCAGCTCTTGTAATGCCGAAGAGTTTACATGAAAATAGTTCCAAACATCGTTTAAGATACAATCAATATAGTTGTCGCGCCACCGACCGAAAGATTTCAAAGGGAGCAGAGGAATAGATTGGAGTCGTTGATTTGGTTGCTGAGTTCCTGGATTTGCTTGTGGTTCTGTTTCAAATGAAGTCCGTTTCACCAGACGTTCCCTTTTATCGTTCCAATTCGAGATATGCATGAAAAGACTCAAGTCAATACGATAATCGTTGAAAATGGCGGCTTTTTCCTTCTTTTGATAACTTGCTTCAATTTGTGCTGCTTCATTGTCAGAATAAGGAGTCCAGTTATCACTTTCTATTACACCTTCTTCGGGAAAGTACCACAGATCGTTCTTATTTGTCTTCCAGAGCCATTTAGCGGAAGAAGTTACCGAATTTTCTTTCGTCATTTACTGAATAGTGTGAAGGAACGGGTATGCAATGAAAATAAACTAACATGCCAGTATTTTATCTTTTATGTGGTCATCAAATTGGAAAAAGCCATGCATCATTACAGATAAGAACTTAAAAACAGATAAGCAAAACGCGTTTTCTCCTCTGAAGAGAGATCATTTTCTTCGTTGTAGATATGCATCTCCACCCAATCTACAGAACGTGTGAAACCAGTCATCTTAACAACATTCTTCCTATCGACGGAAATTGCCGAGTAGAAGGAGAGAACATAAAAGAAAAAGAAAGGTTTCGCTGTCTCTTTCCATTTTATGTTTTACATATCTTTCTTTTTAAAGCAATACGAAAAGCATTTATTGAAAAAGTAACTTCTACCATATAAGTATACAGTTACCTGAAGGATAAAGATAAAGATGGTATAATTCCTGAAGCTATATCGAGTCAAGTAAGAATTTCTTTCACTGAACTAAGCCGACGAACCGTTGCCCATCGTGGTTTCGCCATATTCCGACGAGTTATATTCGGTCGAATGTTTTCATCGTAAACTAAAGCTCTATTGGAAACATACTGGTGTTAAAATTGATAAAAATTTTGATGAAAGCAGAATATGAATATAACACAATACGAAATCGGTGTTATGAATTCAACCAAGCACTTAGACAAGAATTGCTTGATCGTGTTGAACAGAAATAATCTCAAATTCTTATTGTTGATGTTTGCAATGGGAAGAAAACGATAGACTTGGTTGATCAAGTTCAAGTATAGGTCTATCACCAGATAGCATACGAAGTGATAGAAACTAGTTGAAGACAAAAATATAATTTTCTGTGGCAAACAATTTACATATTTTGATGTTTCTCTAACAGCATTTGCACAAAACGAGAGTGCGTTCTATTCGAGCCATGAAAATCAATTTGGTCTTCTATTAGATAGTCGTACAAGTTACACAAAAGTACGAACGCAAGAGAAGTGTTACAATCGCTTGTCAATCTAATTTATGATTTTTTTTTGACGTATGTCATCAAATGGAGTTGTGTTTACTGATTTTTATGATACGAAGACGGCCGCGTAAGCCGCTTTTCAAGCATGTAATGTAGTAAGAAGAGTATTTGCATCATTCCTTAAAACATTAAACGAGCTATTTCGCATGTTTTCATGAGAAAACTACAACTGTAAAATAATCCAGAAAAAAAATGAAAACTGTTGAACGTCACTGTTAAAATAATAAGCTTAACGTCTAAAACAGACTTTAATTTTGTTCAGCAAAAACTCCTTCAGCTCATAGTTATGTATAAACAAATTTGTAATTATACCAAATACACATACTTCACCGAACAGGATTGTTACAGCTGTGATCATTGTATTGACATTTACCAATTGAAGGAAAATATCAACGATGAAAACAGGAGACCATCCTCCAATGAACATTGCAAACATAAAAATCATTTGTCGTAGTAAGGAAATCTCTCGTCGACTAATCTTCGGTGCTTGCTGTCGATTTTCCTGTTGAGTAGTAATTCTACTTGCCCATGCACTTGGATTTTGCGGTTGAACACGACGAGTAGACGATCGCACATGACCAAAAATCATACTATTCAATATAAAATTAACCAATGAAGGTACGACTACAGCTGTAACTAATGTATAAACNGCAAACATAAAAATCATTTGTCGTAGTAAGGAAATCTCTCGTCGACTAATCTTCGGTGCTTGCTGTCGATTTTCCTGTTGAGTAGTAATTCTACTTGCCCATGCACTTGGATTTTGCGGTTGAACACGACGAGTAGACGATCGCACATGACCAAAAATCATACTATTCAATATAAAATTAACCAATGAAGGTAAGAGTACAGCTGTAACTAGTGTATAAACTGTCATCCAGAACACATTCGTACATTTCTAGAATGAATAAGTCCAATATCTTCAATAACGCATGGCAATTTACTTACTCGAGTTGTTCGAAAGACAAACGGTAAGGAAATGATAAACTCGGCAAGCCAGTGACCCGCGATACATAGTACAATCCATCGTTTAGTTTTGAAGAAATGCTTTGTATGATACAAAAGTAAGCAAAACCGTTGAATAGTAAAAGCTATGAAAGCGAATGGTATTGCTACCGAGGCTATATTAAAGGCATAGTAAAACAAGATGCATAATTCTGGTTTCATATACTTATCAAGAACTGCAAAATAAGTGAAAAAATACATACATGTAACGACTATAGATATACATATGTTAACTATAAATATGTTATTCGAGTGATGAAAACGTCGCACCAACGATATACAACCGGAGTATAGAAGACACAAAAGCGAGATTATAATGAACAAAGCTTGCATGAGAAGGAAAATATATGCTAGATCCATAGTTCGGAAAAGATGAGATTGAGTGAATGAATAGAAATTGTTTTGAAGGAAAAGTAATTTTGTTGAGATTAAAGAATCTAATTTGTATGCTGTCTTCTTCAAGAAAGATGTTTTTTTATATAAATAAGAACAAGTAACGCGTGTTGTGAAGTTCAATGAGCTTTTCATCAACAGAACTCCGAAAAGTGAAGATTAGATGATTTAATCGCTGTAAAAACCTTTTTTTAGAAAAAAAGATGACGTATTTTTGAGAATATCTTCGCCGCTGAAATCTCATAGACAAATAAGCATCCCCTTCTTTGGTTTCTAGTATAAATAATGATCGGGTCTACGAAATTATGTTCTGATGTCTTCCCGGCCATCGTTTTACCGCTTGCAATTATATTCTGAAAACGAGGAATTGTGATCAAAACTTATTATCAATCGACTTGATTTTCATACATTGAAAGAAAGAAGTGAGTTGAGTTCAGAATTAGATTCTCTATCAAATGATATCGATTTTCGAATGTGTCCCTGAGAGAAGAATATTTGTCTTACCCATACCCGCATCTTAACTATATACTTTTCTCTGAATATAGGAGACCATTTCGAACATTATGGGCTGATTCAAGATATCTTCTCATTCTATAAAACATTCTAATGTTTATATATTTTTGTACTAATTGTAGTTTATTTCATATTTGATATTCCTGTGATTTCGTAGCACTACTTGAGAACTGATAAGTGCGGTTTCAGTAAGCCTATCAATTTCAATACAACGTTTTACGTCCGATTGAATCAGTCGCATAATAGACGTATACAGATAAACGTTATCATCTATTAATTTATAGGCTTGTTTCGAGATAGTTATTATTGGATGACAATCGAATTTGTTAGAGAAAAATCTAATCGTGATATGTACACTCTTCAGAAATAAAGCGTGTAGGAAATTCATTCTTATACTGCATTAAACTTTGAACCAAACGTTCAATATTGAAGATATACTCACAGAAAGATATGTTCCGTTCTTTCTTATTAAATAATAACACCTATTTTCCATACCATAGACTAAGACATATACATGAATGAAAGATTTATTTACATCGAATAACTCGAAATTTATTAAAACTACTGAGTAAAATAATTTTTAATTATTAAAACAAATCAATAGTTGAGTGGTTAAACTAATAAGGAATATATTTACCGACACCCTCATCCACCCACACCCACATCCTCGATACAACATCAATCCAAAGTCTTTCAGTTTTCATCAAGTCGTATTTATATTATGTATTCTGGCATCGATAGAAAAGACACGATTTCCTCCACGAATGACTTTGAGATTCATCATTATTCGTTTAAAAGTAAATCGAACATCATTTGATTGACTTATATAAATATAAAATTCGACCGTGTTATTAACAAAGAAGCCAATACGAGTCATTTGTACAATGAGACTATCCAACGCTATCCATTGCGAACTTTTTTGCCAATTGGCTGTGACAGTTGAATAAATAAACTGCAGCCCATAGGGGACAAATGAAATGACTGTAACAGCAATTTGTACAAGGACCATTCGCACAAGTTGCCGGTTGATTTGTCTTATGTGAGCGAGAGCAGTCGGTCTTGTCATATTTACATAACTAAAATATCCGAAGAAGCTAAGTGAGAATAAGGGCATGAATAAAATTAAACATGGAACAAAAAAATAGGCCTGATAAGTTAAAATGCCCGGACCGGCTATCGTGCATTGCCAAACGTTTCTGATGAGTAAAATTTTCGTGAAAACTCCATATGGTATACTTGCTAACATCCAGAAGAGAATGTTCATCAGGATAAGAAAACGTGCTCGATTGAGTTTAGTCCATTGACGAATTCTTGCATGTCGTGATGTCGATGCCCAGGTGTCAAAAGCGATCAAACATTTCGAATAGAGAGCCGCTTGACTAGAAAATAGTGTGACATAATTGCGAAATGTGCAGATAGACTGAAGAGAGAACAAGTACGGGTACCCAAAACCGCCAACGATCACTTGTGCAAGAAGTGCAATACTTAATGTGATCATATCGAAAATAGATTGAGTTAAGATATATTGACTCGACGAAGCCTTCCGAAAACGTTGTCGAGAGAAAATCATCAAATTCATCAACGCGCCAAAGAGACCAAAAACAATCAAAGCAATACCAGGAAGAATGGTCAACCATTGAGAAATTGATATGAGGGTTTCAGGAGAAAGCATTCTTAGGAAATGAGAATGAGAAGAATGTTGTAGAAAGTTTTGCGCTGTTTGGATATAATTCTCTGGAATTATATGGGAATTGAGGAACAGAGAAGAAATGGGGACATCTGAGACCAGTTTCAACGTGCGGATCTCATGTTTTCAATTAAAGATATATCGCTATCAGATCCATCCAACTGGGTACTGTAACGTACATCGAGCCAACGGCGTTAATTAATTCTAACATTTATCCTATTTGCATTAGTTCAAATTCAAAGGATACGAGGGTAACAACTGTTTCTTTCTCAAACGATGGCAGACCCGGGTGAACATTGTATTCATTTGTTTAGGATACACAGTTAGTCTACGTCCGTAGAAACTTCATCGGCTGAAATTGTAATTAATTGTCGTGTTGCGGTTAATTGCCAGACATCCATGCACAGACGGAAGGGAAGATGAATAGCTGAATTTTGCTGCAAGTTCAAATATTTAATTTGAAAATAAAAGACGCAGGCGGAATATAATTCCATTTACCAATGATATTCAGCGATGCACAGCTAAACCTGTTCATTACATGGATGAATCTCTTGAAGATCTACAAGCATATCGTGTTGAGCCTCTTTTTTCGAAAGTTCTCAATATTTCTAAAGATCATCGAATGAGAGAAAGGTGCGTGAAAGGATTATTTGCATTTATTATGTGAAAACACGAAGTACACGTGCAATATTTTCGTATTAGTCTCCGTAGATACTTTGGGTGATGCTGTTCGAATTCATGAAACAGCAGCATAGACACACAATTTCTTCATATATCATGTAGGTCAGTGCCGTGTAATTGCCGCATGTTTCTCAACATCGTCATGTTTCGATGAGTGATGTCATAACCCCGTTACACCCGATATTCATCCAAAAGCAGACAATTCACTACGTTACCATATGCAGTTGAGTCGGTGTATCAAACACGGTACCTAAAAAGAAGTGGATTTCGTGTATTCAACCACCACCCTCAATGCTGCGCGTGATTGCTGCGATTATCAAAAATAATGTGCACGATTTGCTGTGATACGATGGCTCAGTTGAGAAGACGAGAGTGTTCATCTTGCATTAAAATAAGCTTATACAAAAAGAAACAGTTGTGCTGAACGCACGGTTTTTTAATAAATGAACTGAGGAAAAAACCATCCAAAAATAGTTCGTTCGCCTATGTATTCTAAAGGATATTAGCTGAATACATTAAACGGTAGAGGCGGTTTATTAGATTGATGTCATTACCTGCTGCCAGTGTTGATGAAGAAAGTTCTCGAAATGCAATACTGACGAAGAGCAATAATTTCAGCAAAAAGGTTAATAGCTCGTCTTACTTTTTAATCTTATGTTAGAAAAATAATAAAACTGAATGCATGAGTTTTATTTTATTCCAACTTTTTCTAGAATCATAGTAAAATGTACTGACAACTTGGCAGATGGCAACAAGCAATTCACATGAAATAATCGTCTTTAATTCTAATCAAAAATACAAAAGACTACTTTGGAAATTACTTTGGAAACAATTGGATCTTTTCCACAGAATCTCCCTATAAATAAATCGAACAGCTAACTATTTTCAGATAGGGTCATTTACGTACTTGAGACAAAAGGTTAAAATACTAATACAAATACGTTGAAACAAGTTAAAAGTCACTCTAGGATAGGTGGTCATTCACGAATATCGAAGACGTACTTACACATGACGATGTTACGAGTACTTAGTCGGTCTGAGGGCTCATTAGCCGTACGGGTATGGAGTATGTGGGTTCTGCAAGCTACCCTTCCTAGAAAGTTATTCTTTAGCTAAAATCAATAACGAAATCCGTTTTTTTTAATTTAATAGTATGGAATTTGTCCAAACATGATCTGAAAGAACGTTAGAATATGAGTATGTAACTTCTTAAGATGTTAAGTTGAACTTCCTTGATGAATGTTTTTTTTCTGAAAGCTTGTCGCTTTAAACGAACCTATGTAAAAAATTTATTGTTTCAGAGTTTAAAAAGTGCATGTTACAAGGAAGAGACACGTGGGATTTTCATATGAATATTCCCAATCACACTATCAAAACTCAGATTGTAGTTATGTTTCCATTCGCAGGCAGGATAGTATTTGACTTCAAGAGACCGCAGTAGAGACGTCGTTTGACTTGTTTGCGAAATTTACTTGACACAAGGAGGAAGATATAGAAGGTACCCTTAAAAATACGAACAAAAACTGCTGATCCAATGCTAAAAGTGTTTTGATTACCCCAGCTCCAAAGACACTCAGCAGACCGGTAATATTAGCCAGTAAATAATCAATACTTTTCTGTTCAAGAGTTTTAATTACAGCCGCTGTTATTAACGAATAAGCATTAAATGTTGCATAGGGCGCAACATAAACAATAATCAATACAATTTGTCCACAAACCATGTGAGTGAGTTGCCGATCAACACCTTGTGACTTCCGCATGTCTTTCAGAGCACGTACATTCCGATATGCAAGTATACCGAATATAGTCATCATCAGAACTGGAAGTATTGTATAAAAACACCAAAAGTCAATGTAAGCATTATAGACTTGCCAGAATGAATTGCAGATAGTACAAACATTTGAACTGAATATGAAAAAAAAGGGAATATATCGAACTGTGAATGAACACAATGACAACTAACCGTAAGTCGACAAAGACGAGATATGGCACACTTTGAACTATCCAGAAAACGGCAACACCGATGCCAATCCGACGAGCTCGTTTAATGCAACTTAGTTGTCGTAGACGAACCGAGCGTGATGTTATCAGAAACTGATCAACAGCTGCGAGCCATTGGCATGTTAATGATATACCAGCGGCAGTGGCTATATTATACTGTCGCATTTTGCACCAAACAATCGACATAGTACTAAAATCTTTATCGAAACCCGTTGCAAGAATACGCGTTAATGTTGCACTCAGCAGATGAACGCTATGTGCAATCGCTGCTATCATCAAAAAGAACGTGCATGGCTTATTGCGATAGGGATCATCGGCTGAGAAGACGATTATGTTCATGATACAACCAAATAAACTCATGCAAAACGAAAAACTACCTATGTAACGTGTGTATATTTGTGTAATAAATACCAATGATACCATAATATATGTCTTGATCTCTGTACAAAATGTTTTTCACGGGCATACACAACTTTTGTTTTAATCACAATTTGGAAAGACACTTTATTTTTATGCGTTTTTACATAGATATTTAAGCGGATCAGTTGAGCAACAGTGACAGGTCAGAGGTGGTGAAGAGAACATGACTTGGAGTGATTATTAAACATAAAAATAAATTCAGACCAATTCAGAAAGAGATTTTCTCGATGAGAAAAGAATGCCTGACATATTAAACTGTTAATCTATTTCATAATTTATCTCTTTATTAGCTTGTGTAAAACTAATCTTGAGTGAGTCTTCACTTTTTATTGTCTTTTTTTATTTCTATGCTTTATTACTTAGATGCCAATGTTCTATTTAAATTGTGTTATATAACACAAATCAAAGGAGCATCCGTCTTTCCAGATTGGATAACGAACGATATTTTCGCCAGCTGATGCCATTAATTGCTGTAGGAAAGTATTCACTGAGATAATCACACCTGAATGCTGTAGGTATTTGATAGTAAAGTATGACATCACTCCTGGTCGCATGGCTGTTCGCATGTCCAAAGGAAAAGAAAATGGCGCTGAGAATGAGCAGAGCAGCATTGAGATGATATTGAAGTGACCATCCGAAAATAGTCAGGTCAGACACTATGAAAATAGAACAGATGAGTCCTGGAATGGTTAGGCCTTCTGTAATTCTTGAAATTGAAGCCCATTTCGTAGCAGCTACATCGGTTAACATACCACCACAGAAAGAACCTAACGAGACACCACTACTGGTTAGAGCAGTTAACAATCCCACATCATTTGTTGGATACGAATATGGTGACTTAGAAAGTTCTATTGGGAGCAGTAGAAAGGACCAATTTATAGACACATATCCAACGGACAGCATTAAACCATAAGAAAGAATAGTCGGATCAATCAAATATGACAAAGCTGCACATGGATTAACAAACGTTGTCTGAGAAATCTCCTCTGAGTCGCGTATAAGAACTCGATGCTGTGTTTCATATGCACACATCACTTGACAATGCTGAGTTTCAGGTACAATTATCACATAACATATGAATCATACAAATGAGATTGGTGCAGCTACTATCAATATTGTCCTCCATCCGAAATATGCGGATACTTCTCCACCAATGACAGGACCAAGAATAACACCAGCATAATAAGTGATATAATAAATTCCGTACGCAGTTTCTCGAATACTTGGTTCATATATATCACTAATGACTCCTTGTGCAACAACCGTTGTTATCGAAATAAAACATCCTTATATTGCACGGCAGATGGCAAACGTGTAAACACTCGTTGAGAAATAACACACCGTGACCATAAATCATAATTGGTCGCTGTCTATAAAAATCGGATAAAACTCCCCATACTAGTCCTGACAGACCCGACGTGAACAAATAGATGCTTATAGTGAATAAACCCCATGTTTCCGTCGATTGAAATTCTTTGACGATGGTCGATATCGATGACAGGTGAACAGTTTCATCGAATGGATATAAAAACCTAGGCCACTCATGATACACAGAATTAGCGATTTTCTGGTGCGATTGAAAATATCATAAATACTCGGTAAATTCTGTTTACTCATTGAATTTATCTGTATTGAAATAATCAAGTCTTCTTTTTTGTTGTCATTGATGATGCGATTGCGACTGCATCTATCAGGCTTTATATAATATACATTGAAATTAAACAGCAAAAAATATAGTTAACATTATATCTGTCCGAATGGTTAAATTGCCCCGGTTCGTCAACAATAAAAACATGGCTTATTTGGCCTAATCATCCGGGTGTACACGTAGAAGAATGATAATCAATGAAACAAATAAAATAAAGTATTATATTCATGCATGGCAATTTGAAACATGCTTTCTTACCTTTCAGGCTTTTGATACTGATGCTATTCACATTTATACAGATGGTTTATCAACTGTATTTTTGATATGCTTTGACGTAATGTTGTGAACACGCAAACACTTGTTGTAACAAGTCAACGGGGAGAGTGTCTTAATTGNTACACGTAGAAGAATGATAATCAATGAAACAAATAAAATAAAGTATTATATTCATGCATGGCAATTTGAAACATGCTTTCTTACCTTTCAGGCTTTTGATACTGATGCTATTCACATTTATACAGATGGTTTATCAACTGTATTTTTGATATGCTTTGACGTAATGTTGTGAACACGCAAACACTTGTTGTAACAAGTCAACGGGGAGAGTGTCTTAATTGAAACATAAATGAATGCAACTGCGGAATTGAACGGAGATCGATAAAGATGACGACATTGATACAATGTTGTCTATTGTTATCTTTTCACAAATATCTGTTCAGATTAGAGCTGAGGTGACCTAAAGAGCATTCAATAATAAAAGATCCAGATTTCATTCGATGCCAATTTTTCTTGCGGATTACTATGAAATCATGCAAATGGAACAACGAAATTTAAATTAGATCAAGAAAGTAAATGTCAAAAGTCTTTGTTAATTAGCGTTGAACTTGTAGGATTGCGTAATTTAAGAAGATTCAATGTTTTAAAGGAAATAAACAGTACTTTGCTATACCGATAGAAGTCATCGGAAGGTGTGTAACGTCTGTATCATTTATATAAGTTAGTTTCTAGAGAAAGAAATGTATTTTGCACTCGTATCATGTATACTTAAGTGTTCACTCTTTCAAAAATCTATTAGCATTAAAAGTAGAAGTTTTATTTGAATTGCTCTCATAAAGTATGAATAACCACATGAATCAAAATACCATTGCCTAATAAAGAATGAATTCAGACTTCTAAAACTCATGTAAAAATATATGATTAATATAAAGGCGTATCAGTATGGTACGAAAACTTTAATTCAAGAACTTTTCGATCATAGTATGACGTCTTCATGATTTTCGTATTTGAAGGGTAAAATATTTAATGATCGTGTTAGAAACAATACGAGCGGAAGTGAGTCTATTCTTTCCGCACAGTATATATAAGACAACGTTAATCTTATTGATTCGATACAAGTTTTTCATAACCGAGCTAATGTTGGCTAAATCATCACTCTTCCTTCTTATGATCGGTATGTTGCTGTTTGCCAGTCCTGTTGCTGGTCAAATCACCACTGGTCTGATCGGGGGTCGTTACTACACGATTGTTCCTTCACATATAGTAGCTGGGTTTTATGCAATTGATTCAAGTGGCAATGTTATCTATTGCACATACTCAAATGGCTGTTTCAAACTGTCGAATCTCTCACTAATCTCGGCATTGTTACCATCACAATGCAACCAATACCATTTGTGCACATGAGTGGCGTGAGTGGAGATAGACATTCATCCTTTTTTCTTCTATTTGAAATAAAATATCGAATGATTTATTCCAGCACTTGATAAACTTTATTAAAAGAAAATAGTTTTTTTCCTGAACTGAACCAGCACTCGTGAATACAATGTCTTTTCTTAACCGCAGTTGCAATAATCAGTAGCACAACAGCAAACATAGATTTGTCGGCCGGAGGCGGGATCGTATTGCCATCTGCAGCCAGGAGCTGTGCAGAGACCAGCTTCAGCTGGACCTCGACTATTTGGAGCACTTGCTTGATCTGAACTACTTTTTCTCTACAAACCACAACCATATCTTACATTCTAACGTAATTGATCAATTTCAAAGGTACTCACCGCACAATATCCCATGCTTCCTACAGAGACAGTGACACTTGATAATTTTGCATTGAATGGATAAGGACAATTCGCACAGAAGTAACAATTGATTGCGTTAGCACATCCTGAAACAGAATAAAACTGGTTTTTGAAAACGTCGAAGAAAATCTTCTTTTCTTACCGATGAAGGCGATGAATAAAGCTAAAATGAGTGTGAAATTTTTCATTTTCTGCGTTAGATTTCAAATGAATCTCTGATGAAAATAACCAATTTTTACACACCTTTATATATTCATTGGAACCGTATTGAGTCAAAACCAATAGATAAGATAAAATGACAAGATTTTTCAGCAGCATATAATAAAATAACAAAGTTAATAATCGATGATGAGAGAGTATCCAGATGCATTCTACACAGTCAGAATGATTAATCGAAGAATCACTGATAAACTAATACAAAATGCCACATCGTTGTTTTTCTTTAGGAAAAAGATAATTCATTCTGATCAAGGATAAAGTCGACTCGATTAATAATAGCAGATACAATACTTCTCACAATAGACGATGTGTTTTCCGCTAGGACACATTCTTTCATTGGATAGTATAACAATTTCTATCCAAAGCTAAAACCATCGATTCGTCTTTACACAAGAATATCAATCCAATATTTGTTGTAACTGACTTACTCTCTTCTGTACACACACACACACGGATGACTCAGTGATAAGCACATTTCGTCATGTGGTTGAGTAAGAAAGGTAGTTTGCCGTAAAAACTCGTGTTTTGCTTTACCAAAGACATTGTTTGTCTATGATGTCGCATTTAAAGTTATATGAAATTCGCGGTGCACAGTTTAATCATGAAAATCAAACGACTCGTTTCTGTTTGTATGCACCGAATGCGAGAAACGTTTACGTCATATTGATTGCTTATGGTTTCCAACAGTATCGATTGGAAATGGTTAAAAACCACGAAAATTTATGGGAAATTGTTACTGATAAAGCACCACCAGGACAAAGATATCTTTATTTAATCAATGATTTTCGAGGAAGAGAAAAACTACGGATCGATCCAATCAGTTTTTCCGTTGTTTCGAATCGTCTCACTAGACAAGTTCAATCTGTTGTTCATGACGAACATGCGTATGTCTGGAATGATCAAAATTGGATGCGACGACGTTCTCAAACAAATCCATTAAAACTTCCTCTTTCTATCTACGAAATCCAACCTAAATCATGGAAAAGCAGTGTGTATTGGCCGATGAATTACCGTCAATTAACTTTCGATCTAATCAACTATTGTCTAGAGATGGGATTTACTCATGTTGAAATGTATGGTATACTGGAACATACCGATCGCTGGGAATACGGTTATCAAATCTCGAACTATTTCGCTCCTTCTCGCTTTAACGGTCAATGCGATGATTTAAAATATTTGATTGATCATTTACATCAAAACAACATCGGCGTTATTCTTGATTGGGTTCCGACACATTTCAAGCATCATCACTTTTTCCATGGATATTCGACTTCTTTGCATGAATACGATGGAACAGATCTATACGCGAATGTACCATCGCAATGGTCGACACTTTATTTCGATTTTGATAAAGAAGAAACACGTCGACTTTTATTCGCTAGTGCGCTGTACTTTCTTGATCGATTGCATTTTGATGGAATTCGTTTCGATGCAGTCAGTCAGATGATTCGACGGAATCAAACGGATATTCCGAGTGCAATGACATTCCTACGCGAACTCAATCAGACGATTCATACGCACTATCCCGGTGTGATGTGCATTGCAGAAGAGTCGGAAGGGTATCCGAATGTGAACAGAGCACTGAACTTCGATTTGAAATGGAATTTTGGTTGGAGTAACAATGCGCGGAACTTTCTTCGGACACCAGTGACTGAACGCGCAGGACATTGGCGAGAAAAGATTCTGGATGTTTTGAATTGCGCTCGATGGAGTGAGGATAAAATGATTTGTACAGTAAGTCATGACGATACGGAAACAGGCCCGTTTGATAGTCGAAATGTTCTGTTGAATTGTGCCTCGCATGCGCGAAACGAAATAGAAAAATTTGCAGATTTGAGAAATTTTTTCGCTTGGCAAATATGTGCACCAAGTCGTGGACATTTGATTCATATGGGCGACGAAATTGTTCAACCCATGTCTTGGTTTCAACGATGTTTTCGAGGAAAATCGAGTATGGATTGGTCATTGTCCAACTCAACATCGTTGCATGGTCGAATTCAAAAATGTATTCAAGATCTTAATCATCTCTACATTCGTCATCGACAATTTTGGGAGTACGGTGAGGAGAGCTATTCGTTAATTTATGAGTATGCGCCAAATCTAGTCATTGCATATCATCGAGGAATTTCGAATAATTATCGAATTGCTGTTATTCATAACTTTTCCGATCATGGTTATAGATCTTATGACATTCAATTACCGAAGTCGGACCCCAATATCGAACGTATTCAACATGTAAAAGAAATATTCAATACAAACCAACTACAATACGGTGGATCCGGTACTTTTCAAAATGAAAGGATCGAAATTGATCGCAACAATATGACACTGACTGTCGCACTACCCCCTCTTTCAACAATTGTTTTAAATGAAACTTTGATTTGATCTGTTTAATAAAGAACAGAAACACAAAACATTCACCTTAGTTCTTCATACTTCTATTTGATCAACGACGAAGGAAAGATAAGAAGCTTTTCAACTATGTGTCGTTTTGTAATCATAAAATTCTCAGGTTGAGTATACTATGAATATCGAAAAACTATCTTTAAAAACAACGATAAAGAACTTTTATAGCGTCTTGCTTTTCGATTCATTTCGTTTTTAAAAACAAGACTCAACTGTAACATGTCATCATTCATTACCTTGCCGGTCGAAATTGTATATCGCATCTTAGATCACCTTGAGCTCGAAGATATTTTCTGGTCTGTCCGCAATGTCTGTCAACGATTCGAAAAGATTCTTAATACATACAAACATCCTAAAGTAAATCTCCTACTGCTTCTGTTCTTGAACGTTTTTCAAATCAGATACTCATATCAATATGTATTGACAACTTTATTTGTAGACAATCCATACTTTGAATGTTTATTCTAAGAAAATTACAGATAAGGAGGCGAAACATGTGGGGAAAATATTGAAAGTTGATGAAGTACGATGAGGTCCCGGAGCAGTCCGTGCGACATTATTAAATATTTGTCTTTCAGGCACTTGTCGATCTAAATTTTGGCAATAAAGGGATCACCGATAAAGGGGTGTGGTACTTGGCTGATGCACTGAAAGTGAATAAAGTGAGATTTAATACGTGGAACCATTCAAACACATTTTTACTAAGATTTTGTCCAATAGACACTTACTTCACTTCGGTTATTCGGAAATCGAATTGGCGATGTTGGAGCACAGTATCTAGCTGATGCATTAAAAGTCAATCGGGTAGAACGGAACTGGCTGTATTAGGTTTTCCAATTAATCGAAACATTTCGTGACAGACACTCACTACGTTAGATCTTCGGTGGAGTAGTATTAGCATTGTCGGTGCCGAGTATTTGGCAGACGTCGTATCGATAAACGAGGTTTGACTATAGAGCAACTTTACTAGGACGAATATCACACTATGACCATATCACAGACAATCGAAGAGCTGTGGTTGGGCGACAAATTCAGTGGTGTTATCGCGGCATGCCATTTAGCCAAACTATTACGAGTCAATCAAGTAAGATTCTCGTGAACATTTTACAGAATAAACTACTAGTACAATTACTTATAGACGATCACAGAAATAATTCCCTACAACCAGTTGCCGCCATCATCTCTACCTCTGAAATGGGCTACTGCTTGGAAAGTTCCTCAAGTACTGCTAGCATGTGCTTGTTTAAATACATACATTTCGCACGTTCTGCACGCAGACACTCACTAAACTTGGTTTGCCGTCATATAAATTGCATTCAAGAGGTGCATATTATCTGGCTGATGCACTGAAATGCAATCATGTTAGAAGCTGTCAACAACTATCGACTATCGCTTTGTTTTCATCTTCTTAGACGCTTACCAAATTGGATCTTACATATAAGTATATCGAGGATGGTGGAGCACAGCATTTTGCAGAGTTTTTGAAAGTCAATCAAGTAGGACAAAAATATACTTAGTCATTCATATCCGTATGGTGAGTTCTTATTCCAGACACTTACTTCAATCAATCTTGCATCGAACTCTATTCACGCTCATGGAGCACAGCACTTGGCTGATGCGCTGAAAATTAATCAAGTTAGCGCTGTAGCTCCATTCGCATAACATTATTATGATTCTCTACAATAGACACTTATCGAAATCAATCTCGGCGATAACTATATCCAAAGTGCTGGTGCTCAGTATCTAGCTGATGCATTGAGAGTCAATCAAGTGAGATCTTCACGTCGAAAATCGTTTGCTTTGATAGTTATTTTCTTTCTTGAAGACACTCAAAATACTATATCTGCGTTCCAATGGGATTGAAAATGATGGAATACGACACTTAGCTGATGCATTGAAGAATAATCAGGTTCAAAAGTCGAAAAAGTTCTTGGAAAGAGTGCTCAGATGGATTATGTGTCTAGACACTCACTACACTGACGCTTGATAGCAACCGTTTTCGGGAGCAAGCATCAGAATATTTGATTGAGGCCTTGGAAATCAATCGAGTAATGTTCATTTATCTTTGTTCGAGGTCAATATCAAGATCTTATGATCTGGCAGACACTAACAAAAATAGTTGCGCAGAGTTCTGTTAATGGCCCTATTGAAGCATGGTTTTTGGCAAAGCATTTACGAACCAACAAGGTAAGGTTGGTGTACATCCTGACAACTATATCATTACTGTGGTATTGGTATTAGACACTTGTCACACTGTCTATGTTTGGACTCGCTAGTGGAAATGAAGGAGAACTGCTTCTAGACGAAACACGACACATGAGTCAAGTATAATTGTCATAGGCTTACATTTGTATATCCACACTACGACATTGATGTACAGACGCTCACTACACTCCAATTGAAGTCAAATGCAATTCTTGCACTAGGAGCACGCTATCTTGCTGATGCACTTATAGTCAATCAGGCAAGATTGATCAGCGTTTTTGCAGCTACGTCACGGTTGCTATGTTTATTTTACAGACACTGACTTCANTCAACAAACCATTGACTCGCGATACATAGTGCAATCCATCGTTTAGTTTTGAAGAAATGCTTTGTATGATACAAAAGTGAACAAAACCGTTGAATAGTAAAAGCTATGAAAGCGAATGGTATTGCTAAAGAGGCTATATTAAAAGCATAGTAAAACAAGATACACAATTCTGGTTTCATATACTTATCAAGAACTGCAAAATAAGTGAAAAAATACATACATGTAACGATTATAGATATACATATGTTAACGATAAATATGTTATTCGAGTGATGAAAACGTCGCACAAACAATATACAACAGGAATATAGAAAACACAAAAGCGAAATTATAATGAACAAAGCTTGCATGAGAAGGAAAATATATGTTAGATCCATAGTTCGGTAAAGATGAAATTGTTTTGAAGGAAAAGTAATTTTGTTGAGATTAAAGAATCTAATTTGTATGCTGTCTTCTTCAAGAAAGATGCTTTTTTTTATGAATAAGAACAAGTAACGCGCGTTGTGAAGTTCAATGAGCTTTTCAGCAGTATAATTCACAAAAGTGAAGATTAGATGATTTAATCGCTGCGAAATTCTTTTTTTTTAGAAAAAAGAAATGACATACTTTTGAGAACGTCTTCGCCGCTGAAATCTCATAGACAAATAAAGATCCTCTTCTTTGATTTCTAGTATAAGTAATGATTAGCTCTACGAAATTACGTTTTCATCGTTTTATCGCTTGTAATTATAATCTAAAAACGATGAATTGTGATCAAAACTTATTATCAATCAATTTCATTTTCATACATTGGAAAAAAGAAGTGAGTTGAGTTCAGAATTGCATTCTCTATCGAATGATATCGATTTTCAAAGGTGTCACTGAGAGAAGAATATTTGTCTTATCCACACCCGCATCTTAACTATATACTTTTCTCTGAATATAGTACACAATTTCGAACATTATGGATTGATTCAAGATATATTCTGACTGTATAAGACATTCTAATCTTTATATGTTTTTGTACCAATTGTAGTTTAGCTCACATTTGATATTAATGTGATTTCGTAACATTACTTGACAACTGATGATTGATATTTCAGTTAAGCCTATCAAGTTCAACGCAAATATTCACGTCCGATTGAATCAATTGCAATAGACATATACAGCAGATAATCGTTATTATCTATTCATTTATAGACTTGTTTTGAGATAGTTATCATTGGATGATAATTTAATCTTTTAGAGAAAAATCTAATTGTGATATATACACACTTTAGAAATGAAATGTGTGTAAGAGAAAAAGAAAATCAGAAATTCATTATTATATTGTATTAAACTTTGAACAAAACGTTCAATATCGAAAATATTCACAGAAAGATATGTTTCGTTCTTTCTTATTAAACAATAACATCTATTTCCCATATAAGACTTATTTACATTTAAAATTACTGAATAAAATAATTTTTATTTATTAAAAAATCAATAGTTGAGTGGTTAAACTAATAAGAAATATATTTACCGACACCCCTCAATGAAATCCATTCAAATGAAAGAGCAGAAGAAAACAAGTCAATCCACGATAGCTACAATTACGTACACAATACAGTATGAATCTAAAATGTTTCAGTTTTCATCAAGTTGTATTTGTATTATGTGTTCTGGCATTGATAGAAAAGACACGATTTCTTCCACAAATGACTTTGAAATTCATCAGAATTTGTTTAAAAGTAAATCGAACATCATTTGATTGACTTATATAAATATAAAATTCGACTGTGCTATTACCAAAGAAACCAATACGAGTTATTTGTACAATAAGACTATCCAACGCCATCCATTGTGAACTTTTTTGCCAATTGGCTGTGACAGTTGAATAAATAAATTGCAGTCCATAGGGTACAAATGATATGGCTGTAACAGCAATCTGTACAAGAACCATTCGCACAAGTTGCCGATTGATTTGTCTTATGTGAACAAGAGCATTGAATCTTGTCATGTTCACATAACTAAAATATCCGAAGAAGCTAAGTGAGAATAAGGGTATGAATAAAATTAAACATGGTACAAAAACATATGCTTGATAAGTTAAAATGCCTGGGCCAACTACCGTGCATTGCCAAATATTTCTGATGAGTAAAATTTTTGCGAAAACTGCATATGGTATACTTGCCAACATCCAGAAGAGAATGTTCATTAGGATAAGAAAACGTACTCGATTGAGTTTAGCCCATTGACGAATTGTTGCATGTCGTGATGTCGATGCCCAGATGTCAAATGCGATCAAACATTTCGAATAGAGAGCCGCTTGACTAGAAAATATTGAGAGATAATTGCGAAATGTGCAGAGAAGCTGAAGGGAGAACAAGTACGGGTATCCAAAACCACCAACGATCACTTGAGGAAGAAGTGCAACACTTAATGTGATCACATCGAAAATAGATTGAGTTACGATATATTGACTCGACGAAGCCTTCCGGAAACGTTGTCGAGAAAAAATCATCCAATTCATCAATGCACCAAAGAAACCAAAAATAAGCAAAGCAATACCAAGAAGAATAGTCCACCATTGAGAAATTGATATGAGGGTTTCAGAAGAGAGCATTCTTAGAAACTGAGAATGAGAAGAATGTTGTAGAAAGTTTTACGTTGTTTGGATATAATTTTCTTAACTTATATGAGAATTGAGAACAGAAAAGAACTGAGGACATTTGAAATCAGTTTCAACGTGCGGATCTCATGTCTTCAGTTAAAAATATATATGTCCTTACCTGATCCACTCAACTGGATATCGTGACTTACATCGAAGCCAACGGCGTTAATTAATTCAAATTTAAAGGATAAGAGGGAAATAAGACATATATGGCATTGAAAGGCATGGTAGCAACTGTTTCTTTCTCAAACGATGGTAGACTCGAGTGAACATTGTGTTCAATTGGTTAGGATACACAGTTAGTCTACATCCATGGAAATTCCATCGATTGAAAGTGTAATTAATTGTCAGATATCCATGCACAGAAGGAAAGGAAGATGAATAGCTGAATTTTGCTGCAAGTTCGAATATTAAATTTGGGAACAAAAGACGCAGGCGGAATATAATATCATTTGCTAATGATGTTCAGTGATGCACAGCTAGACCTGGCCATTACATGGATGAATCTCTCGAAGAACTACAAGCATATCGAGGCAGTCAGATATGATCTTTTCATCATTGTGTTGAGCTCCTTTTTTTTCGAAAGTTTTCAATATTTCTAAAGATCATCGAATGAGAGAAAGGTGTGTGAAAGGATTATTTGCATTTATTATGTGAAAACACGAAGTACAAGTGTAATTTTTTCGTATTAGTCTCCGTAGGCACTTTTCGAGGGACATATTGCACTTCTAGTTGAATGCACAATGGTGATAGAGTTCGAATTCATGAAACAGCAGCATAGACGCTGTTTGACGTGTTGATAAAATCTGCTTGAAACCATTAGAAATACCTAAAAAAGCATTTCTTAACTAAAATGAAACTTAACCAATAAATCGATAAATCGGCATGATATTCAACTTACTCCGGCTCCAAAAAGCATGATTACAATGAATAACATTGTTGATTAAATATTCCATTTTCTTTTGCTCCTGGCTTTGAATTGAGGACGCTGATGCAACTGCATATGCGTTCCGAACAACAGACAGTGCGACAAAAGCAATGTTCAGTACAATTTCTTTATATATCATGTAGATCAGTGCCGTGTAATTGCCGTATGTTTCTCAACTTCATCATGTTTCGATATTCGAACTAAGTTTTACGAAGACAAAGAATAAGATTTGATTTACAAATTCGAAACGGAACATGAACATAGTTTCAACTAACGATAAATCAACAAAAAAGAGAAATGGGACACTTTGAGTCATCTAGAAGATCGCTATATCAGCTACAATACTATAAGCACATTTCATGTTACTTAATCGACGTAGACGAACAGAACGGGATGTGATCAGATATTGATCAATAGTGGCTAACCATTAGCATGTTAATGATATACCAGTAACAGTGAAAATGACAGCGTATGTAGATTTGCATCCAAGAGAACTGATTTCGCACTAACGTAAGATCTTTCTCGAAAAATGATTGTAGGAACACGTATCAGTGTTGCACAGGACAAATGAATGCTGTGCGTGATAGCCGCGATCATAAAAAAGAATGTGCACGGTTTGCTGTAATACGAAGGCTCAGTTGAGAATACCAGTGTAATAATTATGCAATTAAATAAACTTATACAAAAAAAACAATTGTACTGAACTCGCGGTCTTTTAATAGATGAACTGACGAAAAAACCATCCAAAAATAGTTTGGTCGTCCATGTATTCAAACGGATATAAACTGGCTATATTAAACGATAGAGGCGGTTTATTAGATTGATGTCTTTATCTGCTGCCGGTGGTGATGAAGAAAGTTCTCGAGATGAAATCCTGACAAGGAGCAAAAACTTCAGCAAAGGTTAATGTTTCTTCTTACCTTTTAATCTTATGTTAGAGAACTGATAAATCCGAATATATGAGTTTTACTTTATTCTGCGTTTATCTACAAGCATAGTAAAATGTACTGAAAACTTGGTAGATAACAACAAGCAATTCACATATAATAATCGTCTTTAATTGTAATAAAAAACACAACAGACTACTTTGCAAATTACTTTAGAAACAATTGGATCTTTTCCACAGAATCTCCATACAAACAACTCGAACAACTAATGATTTTCAGATAGAGTCATTTAAGTACTCGAGACAAATGGTTAACATGCTAATACAAATACGTTGAAACAAGGTAAAAGTCACTTTAGGATGCGTGACCATTCATGAGTATCGAAGAAGTACTCATACATGACGATGTCACGAGTACTTAATCGTTCTGAGAGTTCATTAGTCGTACTGGTATGGAGTATGTGAATACCACAAGCTACCCTTCCCAGAATGTTATTCTTTAGCTAAAATCAATAACGAAATCCGTTTTTTTTCTAATGTAATAGTATGGAATTTGTCCAAACATGATCTGAAAGAACGTTAGAGTGCGAAACTTCTTAAGATGGTAAATTGAACTTCCTTGATGAATGATTTTTCTGAAAGCTTGTCGCTTTAAACGAGCCTATGTACAAAATGTATTGTTTCGGAGCTTAAAAAATGCATGTTACAAGGAAGAGACACGTAGAATTTTCATATGAATATCCTCAATCACACTATCAAACTCAGATTGTAGTTATATTTCCATTCGCAGGCAAGATAGTATTTGACTTCAAGAAACCGCAGTAGAGACGTCGTTTGACTTGTTTGCAAAATCTACTTGACACAAGGAGAAAGATATAGAAGGTGCCCTTAAAAATACGAATAAAATTGTTGATCCAATGCTAAAATCATTTTGATTACCCCAGCTCCAAAGACGCTCAGCAGACCGGTAACATTAACCACTAAGTAATCAACACTTTTCTGTTCTAGAGTTTTAATTACAACCGCTGTTGCTAACGAATACGCATTAAATGTTGCATAGGGTACGACATAAACGATAATCAACATAATTTGTCCACAAACCATGTGAGTGAGTTGCCGATCAACACCTTGTGACTTACGCATGTCTTTCAAAACCCGTACATTCCGATATGCAAGTATACCAAATACACTCATCATCAGAACTGGAATTATTGTATAAAAACACCAAAAGTCAATGTAAGCATTATAGACTTGCCAGAATGAATTATAGATAGTACAAACATTTGAACTGAATATGTAGAAAAAAGAAAACGTATTAGATTGTGAATGAACACAATTACAACTAACCGTAAGTCGACAAAGACGAGATTGGGCACACTTTGAACTATCCAGAAAACGGCAACACCGATGCCAGTCCGATGAGCTCGTTTAATGCTACTTAGTTGTCGTAGACGAACCGAGCGTGATGTTATCAAAAACTGATCAACAGCCGCGAGCCAGCGGCAGTAGCTACATTATACTGTCGCATTTTGCGCCAAACAATCGATATAGTACTAAAATCTTTATCGAAACCCGTTGCAAGAATACGCGTTAACGTTGCACTCAACAGATGAACACTATGTGCAATTGCTGCTATCATCAAAAAGAACGTACATGGCTGATTGCGATATGGGTCATCGACGGAGAAGACGATTATGTTCATGATACAACCAAATAAACTCATGCAAAACGAAAAACTACCTACGAAACGTGTGTATATTTGTGTAATAAACACCAGTGATACCATACTATGTGTCTTGATCTTTGGACAAAATGTTTTTCACGGACCTGCATGACTTTTGTTTAAATCATAATTTGAAAAGACACTTTATTTTTATGCGTCTTTACATAGATATTTGAGCGGATCAGTTTAGCAACAGTGACAGCTCAGAGCTATTGAAGAGAACATGACTTTGAGTGATTATTAGTATAAAAATAAATTCAGACTAATTCAGAAAGAGATTTTCTCGATGAGAAAAGAATGTCTGACATATTAAACTGTTAATCTATTTCATAATTTATTTATTTATTAGCTTGCGTAAAACCAATTTTGAATGAGTGTTCACTTTTCATTGTTTTTTTTAAATATTTCCATGGTTTATTACTTAGATGCCAATGTTCTATTTAAATTGTGTTATGTAACACAAATCAAAGGAGCATCCGTCTTTCAGGATTGGATAACGAACGATATTTTCGCCAGATGATGACTGCAACAATGACCGTCATCAACAGGTTGCCACTCGCTAAGATCGTTAAGAGCGGTCCTTCATGAATGAAGTCAATAATATAATCAGTCGATGTCAAAGCAGCTGATGTCATTAACTGTTGTAGACAAGTATTCACTGAGATAATCGCACCTGAATACTGTTGGTATTTGATAGTAAAGTATGACATCACTCCTGGTCGCATGTCCAAAGGAAAAGAAAATGGCGCTGAGAATGAGCAGAGCAGCATTGAGATGATATTGAAGTGACCATCCGAAAATAGTCAGGCCAGACACTATGAAAATAGAAAAGATGAGTCCTGGAATGATTAGGCCTTCGGTAATTCTTGAAATTGAAGCCCATTTCGTAGCAGCAACATCGGTTAACATACCATCACAGAAAGAACCTAACAAGACACCACTACTGGTTAGAGCAGTTAACAATCCCACATCATTTGTTGGATACGAATATGGTGGCTTAGAAAGTTCTATTGGGAGCAGTAGAAAGGACCTATTTATAGATATATATCCAACGGACAACATTAAACCATAAGGAAGAATAGTCGGAGCAATCAAATATGACAAAGCCGCACATGGATTAACAAATGTTGGCTGAGAAATCTCCTCTGAGTCGCGTATAAGAACTCGATGCTGTGTTTCATATGCACACATCACCTGACAATGCTGAGTTTCAGGTACAATTATCACATAACATATGAATCATACAAATGAGATTGAAGCAGCTACTATCAATATTGTCCTCCATCCGAAATATGCGGATACTTCTCCACCAATGACAGGACCACGAATAACACCAGCATAATAAGTGATATAATAAATTCCGTACGCAGTTTCTCGAATACTTGATTCATATATATCACTAATGACTCCTTGTGCAACAACCGTTGTTATCGAAATAAAACATCCTTATATTGCACGGCAGATGGTAAACGTGTAAACACTCGTTGAGAAATAACACACCGTGACCATAAATGATAATTGGTCGCTGTCTATAAAAATTGGATAAAACTCCCCATGTTTCCGTCGATTGAAATTCTTTCACGATGATCGATATCGATGACAGGTAAACAGTTTCATCGAATGGATATAAAAAGCCGAGGCCACTCATGATACACAGAATTAACGATTTTCTGGTGCGATTGAAAATATCATAAATACTCGGTAAATTCTGTTTACTCATTGAATTTATCTGTATTGAAATAATCAAGTCTTCTTTTTTGTTGTCATTGTTGATCCGATTGCGACTGCATCTATCAGGCTTTGTGTAACATACATTGAAAGTAAACAACAAAAAATATAGTTAACGTTATATCTGTCCGAATGGTTAAATTGCCCCGGTTCGTCAGCAATAAAAACACGGCTTATTTGGCCTAATCATCCAGGTGTACACGTAGAAGAATGATAGTCAATGAAACGAATAAAATAAAGTATTATATTCATGCATGGCAATTTGAAACATGCTTTCTTACCTTTCAGGCTTTTGATACTGATGCTATTCACATTTATACAGATGGTTTATCAACTGTATTTTTGATATGCTTTGACGTAA